TTGATTGACGGTTGACTTTTTTCTGTTTGTGTTTTGTTTTTTCTATAGAGTGATTCAGAGTAATAACCCTGCATTTTCCGTGGGAAACCATGTTGTTGGTCGTTGTGGCTGGAGAACCCACACAGTCTGCGATGGGACAGACCTGATTCCCATCATGCCCGACTGGCCACAAGACGTGTCCTTGTCCCTGGCTCTGGGTGCCCTCGGCATGCCAGGGTGAGACAGATGTTCGGTTGAACGTGTGGATAGGAGTTGTATCTGGCAGAAGTAAAAATACTATTTATTTTCTTGTAGACGGTTAACTGTGATTTATTTGATGGACATGGAGTTGCCTGAGCCTAATCATGAGGACAAAACAAATCCTGCTTCACTAAGTAAAAGTTAAAGATGTTAGACAAAATAGCTTTAAAAGACACAAAGTCAGCTATAAGTGTAAATGGAGGTCCCATGTGTGATCTATTATTCAGAGGGAAAATACCTAACCTGCCCTGAGTAAATGTTAGATCAAATGCTAATCTGGAAAAAGTATTTCCATTCCTCTGCTTGTTTTTAAGGTCTGTAAAAGGAGAGAGTTGTTTGTCAGCTATTTTAAAGACGTTCCGCTTAGCAGAACATCTGAGTTTTTTCTTCCTTTGAGAAAATAAACGTATAAGGCTCCAGATGTTTAGTCCAGCTAATGAGTTAAAGTCACCTCATAAGCACTGATAACCTTGCTATGGAAACAATTACAGAGAGTTTACATAACGAAGGTCAAAGAGGCACCTCTGTGGGGGGGGAAAAAACCCTCATGCTTTTCAAGTTTTGGAAGTTGGAGTTTACCCTTTCTTGTCCTCTCCAGACTGACTGCTCTGTTCGGGATAGAAGAAGTTCTGGGACTCCAGAAGGGTGAGACCCTGCTGGTGAATGCTGCAGCGGGGGCCGTTGGCTCCGTAGTGGGCCAGATCGCCAAGATCAAGGGCTGTAAGGTGGTGGGTTCAGCAGGGTCTGATGCCAAGGTGGCTTTCCTCAAAGAACTGGGCTTCGATGAAGCCTTCAACTACAAGACTGTTGGGTCCCTGGAGGAGGCACTGAAGAAGGCTTCTCCAGAGGGATACGACTGCTTCTTTGAAAACGTAAGCAATGGCAGTGTCCTTAAACGCTTCCTGTTTATGCTGTCCTATAAGAGAGTGAGTGAGTGAGACGCTCCCCAGGGGGGCTCCAAACAGTTTCAGGGGAGGCTCAGGGAATGAAAGTGAAACAATATAACATTATCAAAAGGAGGTCACATGGAATAAACTTGTTTGTGATTTGGTTAAAGAGAGGTCAGAGATTCAGTCATTTTAGAAACAGTTTTTCCCACTTCATCAAAGTCAGAAACTAATAAATGCCTGAGGACAGATTTGTTGTTTAAAATTTTATTTAATGTGGTTGGTCTAGTCTGAAGGTACGTCAATCAGCATAATTTGGCAATCTTGGCTCAATTGTTGAGTATCTACGGGATCAAATAACATAACCATGATCTCATAGGCATCCAGGAATTGAGCAAACTATGCAAGTACACTAAGAGTGTGAATTTGAAAACCTCTGCTCTATAAGATAACTTCTTCTTGGTTTTTAGGTAGGAGGCCCTTCTTCAAGTGTTGCCCTGCAACAGATGAAGAACTTTGGAAGAATAGCCATGTGTGGAGCTATTTCCACCTACAATGACACCGCGCCGCAAACAGGTGTGTGTGCTTCCCTACTTTCCTTTTCTACATCAATAGTCCTGCCAATTATTCCACTTGAACTTGATACCTGTTTGTGAAAATAAAATGCAGTTTAAAAACATGTTCAGATGATTTCATGTCTTCTTCACTAGATGGCGACATTGTATTGCTGGAAACGTCAGAGGAGCCGTATAAACAGACCTGTATTGTGGCAGAGTTTGTTTCCTTGGACTACCACAGAATGACTTTCTTTTCCTCAACCATCTCTCTCTCTTACTCACTCTCTCAGGCCCATTCCCTCACCTGACCATGATCTTCAAGCAGCTTAAGATGGAGGGCTTCATGCAGTCCAGGTGGGAGCACAAGCGTCCCGAGTCCCTCAAGAGGCTAGTGAGATGGTTGCAAGAGGTTAGTGACTGAACAGTTTATGATGTGTCTTCAGTAAAGATTGAATCTCAAGTTGTAGGGTTGCCCATGTTTCTGCATCAGATTTATTTATTAATTCTGCATCTGCAGGGCAAACTGCAGTGTCGGGAGCACATCACAAAAGGCTTTGAAAACATGCCAGCTGCTTTCATGGGGATACTGCAGGGAGAAAACATCGGCAAGGCTGTCGTTGCAGTCTGATGTGGACTGCTGGATCAATAGACAAGCATCAATATTATTAATTACAAATTATTACAGATTTCATACATGAAGGGCTGAGCAATATACACTTACAACTAACAAGCTATTTTCATGTTAACTTGTTCTTGTAGCTGTAGGTGAAAAGATCTTATTCTTAAGGAGGTGGTATTGTGCTTTTTGGCTTTTCCCCTCTCCTTTTTTTTTTTTTTTGTGAATGTAATAGGTTTGCAAAGTGAAAAAGTCCAGCCCAAAGGGAGTTCCCATCTCCCACAGAAAACTGAACTGCTTGACAACGGCTCATAGTCCAGCTGTTTCCTTATCATCCCTGTGTCGTCTCAGGGATGAAAGCTAAATGCCCCTCATATATGCTCGCTAAGTGGCTAGTCCGACATGCCCTCAAAAACACCGGTGGAAAAACACTGAGATGTGTTTTTGAAAATTAAACCATGTAAACCTGTTCTGGTACAACCCCTAAATAAGATTATGGACCTGAAAATGACCATAATACCACCTCATTTAATTTTTAGGATTAGTTCAGGATTCATTGTTAGGAGTTGAGTCTGAAACTGTTCATTCTTTAGAAGTGAGATGGTTTTATGAAACTGCACCATTCTGCTAGGTTTGGTAGATTTTCAAATGCATTTAAAGGATAAAGACAAAATAAAAGAATGGGACTTTTTACTTTAAATGAAATCAGTATTGGAGACAAATCTGAACATTTCTCCCTCACATGCAGCTACATGTTTACATTGTCAAACTAGTAGCACTCACTAACTATCTTTAACTAACCAATGTTTTGACCATCATCCAGACAATTGTCCCCTGAATGCACAGTACATCATTAGGGAGAGACCAGACTGCTGTGGGACATCAGCAGGGCTGCATGGGAAGGCTTTATATTTACTGAGAAAGGAGAAGAGAAATGATAACCGTGCAAGACGACACAAGACTGTTGGTCTGCTGTGCCAGCATGTACCTGGATGAGCTGTGCAGATCTGCTGCGGACATGTTCATACATTGTTCACACATTATTCATCATAAGACAACTAACCATGTGATTTTGTATTTAGTGAAAGTTTTTGTAAAGGTAATAAAATGTTTTGGCTTTTTGAAAATGGTCTGGTGATACATGTTTCACTTATTTGTTGGGCTTCATACTTCAATCCTTAAATTACTGAAGTCAAGATAATAGAGCAGACACTTCCTGATGCCAAGTGCAGCTTTTTGTTTGATCAGGAAATAGACTATTTTTAGACCCTAATTTGAATTTCATAAGGTTGTGGTAGTGTTGTGAGCCCCAGCTCCCTAGTAAGATATTACACGTACTGTTTGCAGACCCATGGCTCCATAGACCAATCCCTAAACTGCTCTTACCAGTAATGACACTCTGGGGCAAAGCTTAATGCACAAGTCACCAAACTGTCATTGTAATGCTGGATAAAATTGTTCATGTCCACCAAATTGGGAAAATTAACAAAAATACAGACTTTTTCAAGAGTTAGGGAGTCAAAAACCATTTGATGGAAATAACAGCACTTAATCAGTCTCAAAGGGACATGCTATGATTCATCAAGCACATAACGGTTGAGGGATTGACTTGAAGAGCAGAGAAATCCATCTGGTCAAAAAAGAGGCTATCAGGATATTGCCGAGCGTGATAAGCTATACAGATGTGAAAATGTGTTTATACCACTGTGAAGGATAAACCCATGAAATCTAATTGCTGGATATTTGGATTCTGCAATCTCAAAGTATTGAAAGATTGGGATCATTTTTATGAATTTAGTTAGTGTAAAGGCGACATAAAACTTATCAAAAACATTTATTTTATTTGTTGCACAAAAAATATATTAAGGAACAGCCTACTAATACTAACATAGACTAAATGTTTGGCTATAATTACACAACCGAAATGTGGAGGTTTAAAGGAGGAAAAAAAAAATCAAGCGGGCAAGTCACTTACTTCCGCGTTGGGTTCATTTTGCTCCAGAGGCAAAGGTCTTTGTGTTTATACTGGAATTGAGTCGCTCTGACTCAGTCATTTACGGTAAATCAAGAATTTGCCAAGTCATTGTGACTTGATTCAATGTTCAAACGCTTTCCCTCCAATTATTAAAATAACAACACTTATGAGATATATAAGATTATGCAATAACATTTTGATAATTAAAACGCTATAATGAGTTATCATTCATATGGTGAATAGCCTATAGTTGCCTGTTTTGAATGTTTGAATAAGATCACCTTATCTTGATTGTTTACCCAAAGGATTTCAAAAACCCTTAGAGGCACATCATAAACTGACCGGAAGCCAAACTTTTTTACATTACTATATTTTGCATCATTTTGTTAGGTGGACTAAAAAGGCAACACCCGACAGTTTCAAACCACAGACGGTAAATCAATCGACCCGTTTTTGCGTGAAGCTGGGAAAATGAAAAAATATGACGTCGCTGACAGCCTTCAAAATAAACGTCTCTATTATACAAAGATTTCCACTGCATGCTACTAAATCAAAACAAAAAACATATTAATTGTGAAATATGTACGGAATTGAAGTGCAGTTAAAGGCATTTCACAGGCACGTCCCACACACTTTGCCTCAACGCGGTGTGTAACTTCCAGTGTATTAATTTAATCGCCTAACAATTGAATACTTTTATTTTGTAAAGCGACGTACACTGGCTTCCGCCGCGGCGTGGCCTACGGATTAGTAGCTTGGTGCAGCTGCGATAAAAACGCGGCGTGCTGTGCAAAAAAGGCATTCCCCAACTTAGCGGCTCGTTGGTCACGTAGAGACACGTTCACTCAAGCCTCATCATGGTTCGCGAAGTGGAAAATTTGGTAAGTTTTATCTCGTTTACGTAGTGTAATGTTAGAAGCCGCCATTGTTACACATTAGTAGATGTTTGTGGTGTTTCCACAAGCTCGGGCAGCCCCCTGTTCCCCCCGCGCCTGTTTCCTCCGCGTTGATTTTATAGGGTTTCCTAGCTTGTTTAGTTGGCGAAGACTAGCCTCAAGTTAATTAAATAAATCCCTCTGATCGCGTCATAATGTTCAGAGTGAAGGCTCCCAGTGATTTGGCGATTCAGCATGAGCTGGCTTGATGCTGTCTGTTAGCCGCCTGTGTGTGTGTGTGTGTGTGTGTGTGTGTGTGTGTGTGGCTGTAGACTGTTGCCATCTTGTAGACAGGCGGGCTTTCAACTTATTGGAAACCTCTGGCGTTTACTTATGAAAACAATAATCTGAATGTTAATTGTGAATGAGGCTGTTATTGTTGGCTGGGCACAGATGCTAAAGTGGTTTGTGTTAGCAGCTGTAAGAAGTTGTAGCTTAACGTTACCGCCGCTGCTGCATCATGTGGGATCTCCCACAGCAGGCCATTCCACTGTTACAGGACGGTAATCTAATCTCCTGTCAGTAGTTTTTAACTCGCAGATTTTACTGTCGGATTGGCTATAAATCCCGTTGATAATCATAAAAGGGGGTGGTGATGTGCGCAGTGGTGTGGGAGACCCGGGTTCAACTCCCCACTGTGACCCACCGATGTGTCCCTGAGCAAGACGCTTAACCCTAGTTGCTCCAGAGGCGTGCGACCTCTGACATATATAGAAATTGTAAGTCGCTTTGGATAAAATCAGCTAAATGAATACATGTAAATAAAAGAAACCGGCAAGTGTGACATAATTATGTAGTTTGCTTGAGAGAGGTTTATTTGCACAATACTAAAACATGCTAAATAATTATAATAACATGCATAATTATAGAAGAAACATGAAACATGCAATGTAATTATAGAAGAAACACGTGAATAAAGGATTTTTAAATTTAATGATTACTGCAATTTAATGATTACTACATTATGTTTCATTGTATATTTATATCTTGAATTGCCACCTGCATTTTGTGTTTCCATTTATATAAATAAGACATTTCCATCATAAACTGATGCAGAAAATTCCAGTTTAATGCTTAAAATCTTCATTTAGTTTATATGGTCTTCCGGGTCACTACTACAGTATAGCTACAGTATTATGACCAATTCTGAAGTCATTATTTTATTGCCCAATAATCTTTCTATCTTACAATATAATAACAATTCATTTCATTAAATAAGTAAATAAAACAGTAAAAGGTGTGGGTGTGTTAATAAAAAAAAAAAAGTAAAATAAATATTAAAAGTAAATAAATAAAACTGTTAATAGGAATAATAAATTTAAAATAAATAAAACAGTTTAAAAAATTGAAAATTAAGATAAATAAATGAAACGTGTCTGTGTGTTAGTAGACACAAAAACAAGAATGAATTAATTTTAAAAAAAAGTATCAAATGTAATATTTAAAAACAATACAAATAAAGGAACAATTACTGAAATATCAAACAATGAAAATAATAACTTGAAATTTAGAATAATTATCAGTCTGAGGTTGTCCTCAGTTCATGGCATGAGGAGACATATATTGCAGCAATTATTTGACATTTGGGCATTTCTCCCGGTAATTAGGGGAGTTTCTGTGTGTCAGATATAAATTTGAATTTGGGAAATGTTTGCAAAAAGTTTTCTTTTTCTTAGTGTTTTATATTTAGGGCATGAGGTTAGAAAGTGCAGCTCTCTACCGGTCTACTGGGAGCAGAGTCTCTCCTCTTGTGGTAGCGCTCTCTCTGTTTCTCTCTTGCCCTCTCTGTACTCAAGTGTAACAGGGTTAAGTAAAATATGGAGAAGTGAAATGACCTACAACTTTGAATTCAGTAAATAAGCTGACTTTGTTTGCCAGCCAGCAATAAGTAAAATAAATTGCTTCAACATTATTTTCCAAATATAAGCTGCATTAATTGTGTTCAGATTAATAAAGCTCATCACATCTTGATCAAAAACACTTTACAGATGTTATCTGTTTTCATTTTCTGTAGGCAGATTTCAAGGCCATCCTTCAGGAAGCTGGAAACAAGCTGGTCGTGGTGGATTTCACAGCCGCATGGTGTGGTCCCTGTAAACAGATTGGCCCAGCTTTTGAAGTAAGTGGATGATTTTAGCAATAAAAACTTCTTGACAGTTGAATGGTGTGTGGGTTTTTTTTTTTATTCTTTTAATGGCTGGAAAGGGGAAAACCAAAGGTATTTTATTTTTTTTCATACTACTACTTTTTTTCAGTGTTAAAGCATGTAAACATTTTCTAACCCTAAAGGTATAATATCATAACATAATATGGGACCTTTTTTTTTTTTTTTAGGGGGAAAACACTTGATAAAATGGGAAATATATAATATAAGGGGAGGAAAACCCTACACTGGATGAGGGGCACAAAAAGTAATAATTTTATGAATTGCGATTATTTTAAGCCAAAGAAATGTTTTTAAGGACTGTTGACCGCTTCCACAGTATGCTCAGTAGTTGCAACCTTAGTGAAACCAGTGTTTCTAGTTTGTTAGTAGTTTAAGGATCCCTTTCCTGAGGGACACATGTTCGAGTGCAGCAGCCTTTGCCAAGCTGTTACAAAAAAATACCTGCATAACTGGAAGATTTGATGGCCGGTCATATGACTTTTTCTCCTCCTTGACTCATTTTAAATCAAGGACAGAAATGCAGCAATGTATTGTTCTCACAATTATATGGCAGCAGGTTCATTCTGTGTGTGGTTAATATGTTAATGCTCATCGTTTAACTCTCTTGCAGGAAGAATCGCGGAAGGCTGAGAACGTGAACGTGATTTTCCTGAAGGTGGACGTAGATGAAGCTGAGGTAAACATGCGTTTCCCATGTTTTTACTTCATTTAAAGCCTGAAGCGCCATTTACAGCTGCTGGTACAGGGCTCTCCAACACACATCATCACTCACACATGCAGTGACTTCTCTGGTATAGCCACATGTTAATCACACATTTGCGCATGTCACAGTACTGTCATGTGACCGAATGCAAAGATTTTTCTGTCTTACTGCAACAATATAGTGACATGAGAGCAAACCTTGCTTCAATTGTTTCTTTATTTAAATCCAGGTCATCAAAAAGCAAATCAAAGAAAGGCTTTACAGCTTTTGACTAGACGCACATTCTGACATGAGGTCTGTTTACATGTGTAGGTTTTTCTAGGTATTAACCAAACTTAAGTTAATGTCTGATCTGTAAAGCTGATAACATGAACCTTTTGATACTGTGTTTGATTCTCCCTTTGTAAGTGAACAAAACATTTTAATCAGGTTGCTCATGATCTTATCTTTAACACAGCAAACGTTCGCAGATGACTTTAAAAACAGGTCTTTGTTTACTCCTGTAAGTTTCTGCAGAAACGCAGAAGTATTGAGCACAGAGGGAGGCTCAGGTGTCCTGTTCATCCAGCAGTAGTTTCCTGTTTGCTGTCCAGTATCTTGATTAGTTTCTGTCTCAGTTTAATAAGTGCAGCATTCACAAGCATTTTTTTGAAACTTTTCTTTAAAGAAAAACTTGTTCCTTTATTTGGATCCACAGTAGCATAAGCATGTGGCTGTTCCTCCTGGGGTCCTTTGATTGTATGTCCACGAAAACACTGACAACTAAATAACTTTTAACTCACCATTTTAATTCTACGTAGTTCTCCACCTTTTATTTTAGTGTTTGTTCGCAAACTACAGTAATCTGCTCACTGTGCTTTTCTCTTTTATACACCTGTCTGCCTCTCCCTTTATCTGTCTGCTCTGTTGATTTAATTTTCTTTTTAGAAAAAAAAAAAAAGCGTTGTTGTCTTGTTGCACCTATCAAGACCAACATGGTACTTCATGAAATCGACACCAACAGGTGTATTCACTGCATTAACTGGTCATAATATGTGTGTGTGTGCGCGACACAATAGTTGGTTACTGTCTGTACCGCTGCGTGCAGGACATGAACCATCATGCGGCGCAGCATGCATGTAAATGAATGATTGGCGAAGGCTACAGAGATTTCTGGCTCGAGTGTATAATATTCTCTGTACTCACCTGATTAAAGCACACAATGTCTTGTTGACCTTACAGTTCATATTGGATGCTTCACACATGTATTGGTCTGTTTGGCTCATGCATGTTCACGTGGACGGTCCTCCGTCAGGGGTGTAGGAGTGTTTATGACTTAGTCCATCAATCTTACTGTTCCCTTTGCTCTTTTCAGGATGTGAGCGCATTCTGCAAGATTAGCTGCATGCCCACATTCCAGTTTTACAAGAATGGAGAGAAGGTAAGCATTGCATGGAAATATACAGCAAAGACGGAAACACTGACATCACCTTTTTTGTTTAAGTTGTACTGTGTCAGCAGTAGCTCATTTACACATCCAGCAGATATGGAGAACACTAGAATTAATTTAGTCGTGTTTCTGGCCAGCTAATGAATCACCTCCTTTTAGCTCTGTTTAGGTCTCCACCAACTCTGAAGGAAATATCTGGCTCTTTAGCTGCTAAACGCTCCACTTTTACAAGCTAGTTGCTTAATGTATCTGCCTGCTGTTAGTCACTTCATCAAGGCTGTTCTGCCAAGGCAGGAAACAAAAAGCCTCATGCAGGAACAAGTCATACAAACAGATTTGGTCTTTGAATTTTTCTGAGGGTTTTTTTTTAAAGACTGAGGTGAATGGAAACTCTGGGGTTTCTGTTCCAGAAAGAGAGCTGGCAGGTTTTCTTCAACAAACTTTAAAAGAGTTTATCTCTTACTCCTCTCCTGCTGAGCCTGAAGCAGCGGTCTGACACACCGTTTAATTTTCTCATTCACACAGTCAATATTAAGGCACATGCGGAACACATTCATTTTCAGAAGTTTACGTCTTTAGAAACATCAAAATCCCGCTTAGATATTAGTTCATTACCCAAACGTGATCTTTAACATGTCCGCTCTCGTAGATTCATCCTCGGCTCAGCATGAAATCTATACGTTGTCTTTCTTTATAACTATGTGACTCTGTAGACATCAAGGCAGCTGCCAGGTTGTCAACAGCAGCTCTGAAACAATTAGCGTGGGCTACATTACTGCAGTATCACTGTTTAAATCAAAGTGATCTGTCTGAAGCTGTAACTGATCAATGAACAATCATTTTCCATCTGTGATTAATATCACAGATGGAAAATTTCTGATCAGTGTCATGTTGGAGATGATTTAGTTAGACTAGATGTAGTTCAATATTAAAGTTTTAATGTGTCATGACAGTATTTCATTAAATGTGAAATGAGATATATATATATATATATATATATATATATATATATATATATATATATGATGATGTCGTATGTGTGAAACTATTAAAACAGTTTTTAACTGTCTGCCTGTGCTGTTTCAGGTGGATGAGTTCTCTGGTGCCAACAAAGCTACACTGGTTGAGAAACTGGCAGCTCTGAGAACATAAAAACCGCAGTAGCCACTGATACCTGTACACACCCAAGAAGAAATTCCAGTTTCATTTTATGTATGTTCTGTTGCACACAGGCAATAATTTATTCCACTCATCATGTATTGGTTACATACTGTCGTCCTGTCGGTGTCTGTATTAGCTAGATAACCAGATGACCACTTTTAAAATTTTTTTTTTTTATGACAAATTTGGCTCCTGACCAACTCCTGAAGTTTCTTTGTAGTATGTGTTCAACAAGGTGGATTTAATAAATGAACTTGTATCAAACACAACAGAACGACTTTTGATTCACAACCCCTTGCTGCAAGAGGGCATAATCTGATGCTTTAATACAGAGGTTTGGGAGGCGGGGCCTCTCCTGGAGGGGTCCGTGAATGGAAGTGACAAAATATAACATAACATTTATTATTACATTAGTCATTAGAAGGAGATCATATAGAATAACCCAAATATGTCTGAGTTGGGTATTCCTTGTGTATAAAAGTCAGGCCTAGTCTTGGGCTCTTTCATAGTCCTTTTTGCTAACAAGTTGACAAATGACACAAAATGACAAACAAATTTAATCGTGCGTCAAGACTGCAAAATACAAAAACATGAGGGATTCAATTCCACTTGATAAATTTTGGTTCTTTCATGGTACAGATTTATTGTCTCTCTTCATCTGTTGGTGCAGAAATGTATTTCAAATACTGGGTCTTTAAACTTAGTTTTGGTCATGTTCGCAATAGGACATTCACATGAAGGAAAAAAATGGAAACTGGGTTATCAGTTTTCCTGTATTTGAGCAGATGTCTCTTTAACTTTCTCCACATGCACTAATTTCTGTAGCTGCTGAGCAGATGAGTGACCGCAGTTTGGTTTTTGGCTGCTGACTCTAAATTCTGCAAGATTTGACTTCTCCATTTGTTTGTCAGTAACGAAAGACAAGAGGATTTCAATTTCATTTTTTAGCATTTACTGTAGAGCTATGGTATCTGAGTTTCTCAGAACCAGGATAAAAGCTAATCCAAGTTTCTGAAAGCATGCCACTGAAACCTGATCTTATCATGTCATGATGCATGTAAATATACTCCCATGACGACTCTCCCTTGATTGAGATCAGTGATTGTGCAAAACTTCCTCAAAGCTACACTTAAAATGTCTTGGCAGACAAGAATGTATAGTGCTAAATAATGTAAGGTATGCCGGGAGTAATCCTGAGCAAGAACCTTTCCACTTAACAGCTACATCGCTGTAATAAAACCGCTGACACAGATGTGCTTGGTGGATGGCTCAAATGAAACAAGGGGACTGGGTCATTAGTTCAGGCCTCAATTTCTGTTTACCAACAATTGGGACAGTGAAGAGAAGAGGGTTGGCAGCAGAGCGCTCATTGTGCACGTGTAAAGCGGTGTGCAAGATGGAGACCTTCACCTGAAATACATCCAAATAAATTTTTAAATGTAGCCAGCATTTGATTTTCCATTAAATACTTAAAAGTAGCTTTAAATCCATTACGTTTGAACTAAATTACTTTTACTTTGAATAAAGATGCTTCACAGAGCAGCATGTTAACTTGTCCTGCATCAACCAAGACATTAGTTTGTATAAATATAGATTGGGATCCAAGCAAGTCGTGAAAAATACAACATTTGACATTTTCAGAGGAGAAGAACAGAAGACTTAAGAGATTAAAGTGATGAAAGAATGAAGTCTTTGAGTTATTTTTGTGGAATCGCAAACTTGATTTTTGCAGCATCGCCTTGAGATCAGAGAACGTCATTATATGTACCTGACTACTGGGTGAAATGTTCAACCCACCTGCAACATTTTATGTTTTCAAGTTTAAGCTGCACAAACACTAAGCAGAGAAAAATAAGAAGAAAGTGTCACAGGATCCAAATAAAATAGAGCCCTTAGACTCGCTATGAACTGAACAAACCTTATTGTCGGCAAGTCTGATTTGGTCACCCGGGGATTTGAATCCTGGAGCTTCAGATATCCAGAGTAGGTGATTTACTGACTGAGCTATTGGTGAGAGGCTGTTTCCACACACCCTCTCACAAATGGAGGTAGTGACGTCACAGGTGACAGACCTGGATAGTTTTGTCAATTTAAACTTAAAAAACAAAATCATGTAAATGTAAATGCTCCATACTTGTATAGCGCCTTTCTAGTCTTTTCGACCACTCAAAGCGCTTTTACACTACATCTGCATTCACCAGTCACACACATTCATACACTGAGCCTAAGTGCTCAAACGGAAACTAACATTCACACACATTCATACACTGGCGGAACAGCCGCCAGGGGCAAATCGGGGTTCAGTATCTTGCCCAAGGACACTTCGACACGCAACCAGGGGGAGCCAGGGATTGAACCGCCGACCTTCCGCTCTACCTCCTGAGCCACAGCCGCCCCTAAATCACACATCATTCTGCTGGTATTGGGTGTGTTCTCAATTATTTTGGTGGCATTTGATCCAAATCTGCCATCTAGAGGATGATTGTGTTGATTTTGGCGTTTGAAGAAAGACTTGTGGAGATATAATAATAATAATAACTTTATTTGTATAGCACTTTTCAAAACCAAGTTACAAAGTGCTGTACAGAGAAACAAACATGATCCATACTTAAAAATGTAAATGAAAATAAAATTAAAAATCAACAATAAAATCAGCATTAAAAAAAATAGATCTATATAAAGATATAGATGTTAACTGATTTAGCACATTCTGAAAAATATAGAGTGACTGATTTCTGAATTGACCATAGGTTGCAGTGAAACGAAAACATTTGAGCTCACTAGGACGTACAGATGATTTTCTTAGATTTTTTGAAGTTACGAATGAGAAATGTCTAGAAATGTACATTTCCTGTAATAAGCCACGCCCACTTTGCGCAATCATTATCAAATTTTATACATCAACTGAGTAGTGACCCGAGATCGTACGAACCGAATTTCGTATGAATCCATCCAGCGAATTACGAGGTATAAACTTTTTGCAAGTGTAGCGCCCCCTAGTGGAAGAATATCCCAAGACTGCTCAGCCGTACCATCTGAACAGACGCGTCAAGTTTGGTGACAATAGCTTAAGCCAATTTTGATTTACGGGCATGTATGTAAAATTGTACAAAAAGACACAAAAGTAAAAATTTATGGGGAAAAAAAAGAGATTGACGTATCAAAATTATTTTCATAACTTTTGCGACATCCATAGATGATCCTGTCAAAGTTTCAGGTCGATTGGCAAAACCATCTCGGACAACTTCGTAAAAATAATGTTTTTGAGAAAAGTGATAAAAAGTCACATTATGACATTTTTAGAGCAAAGATGCAGATGAATCCAGAGATTAAAATGATGAAAGAAGTTTGACTCAAAGCTGTTTGAGATAATTGCAAAAACGCAAAGTTGATTGTAATAGCACCACCATGAGGTCTATGAGTGCCATTTTTTTGCCTGAATAGTGGGTGGAATTTGCACCTCACTTGCCAATTTTGGTGAGTTTTCATGCAGCAGTTTTTGCTGTCCAAACACTTTTAGCGGAGAAAAAGAAAAACGATAGTAATAATATACAGTCACAACGTCACAGTAAAGCAACATAAGCGTTCCCAGGTCCCAGCAGACAAAACAACTGTCTTTACAAATAAACAACAATAGTTTTAGTATACAGACAGCTTATGTATGGCTTAACAACAAAAATTTGTCAGTATACATGTTCCACTAAAAGAGAAATGATAACACGGCAGGACGACACAAGACTGTCAGTCTGCTGTGCCAGCATGTACCTGGATGAGCTGGACACGTTCATACATTGTTCATCATAAGGCAACTAACCATGTGATTTCATATTTAGTGAAAGCTTTTGTGTAGGTAATACATTTTTTGGCTTTTTTTCCAAATGTTCTGTCGACATCATATGTTTCACTTCATACGGCAGACTGAGTATCGATACACTATAAATCCGGTGTTCATTTGTGCATGTCCTGCATTAAAGGCCTGACATATTGTGTTATCAAGAGGTTTACACCTTTCAATCCCTAAATAAGTGCAGTCTAGATAGAATGTAGCTTTTTGTTTGATCAGGAAATAGACTTTTGTTGGTTGTGGTGGTGTTGAGAGCCCCAGCTCCATAGTTGCATACTGTTTTCAGACCCATGGCTCTATAGACCAATCCCAAAACTGCATTTACCAGTAATGACACTGTGGGGCAAAGCTTAATGCACAAGTGACCAAACTAATGTCATTGTCATGCTGAATAAAATTGTTTAATGTCCACAACATTTGGTGTAGTAGTCAAAAACTATTTCATGGAAATGAAACCATTTTATCAGTCTCACACGGACATGCTATGAATGAAGTATCAAGCACACAGAGAGCTATGCCAAGTGTTATTAGCCAAATGAGGGATTGACTTTAAGGGCACAGAAATCCATCTGGTCTGTTCAGCGTGTTAAACCATATGTGAAAATGTGTTTGCTTCTATACTGTTAAGGAGAGATCCTTAAAATCAAGTATCTGAATATTTGGATTCTTGAAATCTAAAAGTATTGAAAGAAGTTAGAAACATTCATATTATTTTATATGTTGCACAAGAAATAGTATTAAGGAAATCTAGGAAAAAATAAATCTATAGTGATGACGTAATGACGGCAGTCACTTAGAGGACAGTGTATTACCCTGTTGTATTACCAGAGCCATGTAATTTAAACGGGTAAATTATCATGGATATACTGTAAGCTGTAGAGGGCTCTTCAGGTTGCTGTTCACCAGGCTGCAAAGATGTTTATATCTGATGTTCTGATTACATTACTTATGATCAAATAATAGCAAGTTGATAACTTTGCTAACACAGCCAAACATCAAGCAAGTGCAACAAGATATAACAATATTACTGACTGGTCGGACAGAAAGAAGGCCAGCTCTGCGTCTGTCTTCAAGACTTTTTTTTGTACAAATCTCTCACCAACATCTTGGATCCTCTTGCTTGGTCACTCTCTTTTTCTATTCTTAGCTTCTTCTGTCAACATCCTCTTTTGTCTATTCGCCTGAGCCCGATTATGTTGCTTCCTCGGACGTCGTCTTCTTCTGTCTCTCCGCAGCCTCTGCTATGACATCCATACTGAAAATATTGAGCTAGCTTCTTCCAAAGAACTTACATTGTGCATTATATACTTTTTGCTTCTTCTTACAGCTCGCTTGCTGAAGAGTCATGTTAGTGCCGTAAAGCATTATGCTGTTGTTGCAAAACATTGTTCATACATGGGATTCCAACGTTAAATAGCGCCAATAACTGCTTTAACAAGGACTCTATGGGGATTGATTCACTTTTGGAGCCAGCTTCAAGTGGCCATTTGATGAACTGCAGTTTTAGTCACTTCCGAGTTGGCTTTATTTTTTTAAGCCCTAGAGGCAGGAGCAGAGGATTCCACTTGATATTACTTCACTAGAATTGAGTTGCTCTGACTCAGTCATTTACGGTAAACCAAGAATTCGCCAGGTCATTGTGACTTGAATCACTGTTTTAACTCTTTCCCTGCAATTACTGGAATAACAATACTTATTATACAGTGACACTTTGGTAATTAAAACACTAATAATGAGGAAAAAACAAATGTGCCATTATGCCATGCACCCAATATTTATATTATAACAATAACTTTAATAAAACAATGTAGGGGAACGTGTTGCTCTCAGGAGGAGGCGACTAGAAGGAGCACATATTGGCACTGGCATCCTAGCTCACACTATCCGCAACCTGGAGAAGTAACTATAGTTTCTATAGGATAAATTAGTAAATTAGTGTAATAATACAACATTAAATAAAAAGGATGTTAGCATAATATTAACATATTTATAGCTTTATTTTGTATCTAGTCTGCCTACTGATAGTTTAAAGAGTATTTGTAACATTTAAACAGATCATTAGTTGAGATTCAACAATTCAACTGTTTTCTGATATTACACCACAGTGTTTAAGGTTTTATAAATGCTAATGTTAGTGTATTCAATATTATTTCAGATAATAGTAGCTTTATACAGCTTACCAATAGGATAATATAAATTCCACTTGGGCAGTAGGCCTACAGTTGTTTCATTTTTTGGGATGTTTTTCCTTTATTAAATCCTTGTTCATGAAACATGCTCGACATGGTGGTTAGTTTCTTAATTTGTTAATGTCAGTAATCATACCATTCAACAACGTTAAACAAGTTTGCTGTAGAACCTCCAACGTTTTCATTGTCCCGCCCCCATCCAGGCTGTGATTGGTCGAGCGACTTTATGAGAAGTTGAACATGACTACAAACAGATCCCAATCTTCTCCCTACTCGAGGTTAGCAGGCTGGGAGAACTGGAGCAGGTGAGCATCACATAGTGTCCCCTGGGTAATGCAGTATATATAGAGCCATTATGCTTCTTTAGTACAGCCTTTTTTTAAATATATATATGTATAAGGTCAGATTTATCTCGACTGTTCATCCAAACAATTTTAAAAACAAGTAGAGTCACTTCATAAATTGACCTGGAGACTTCATTTTACATTAGCATTTTCTCGCATCATCCAGTTGGGTTGATGGATTTAAAAAAAATGGCAACACCTGCAGCTTCAATCCCCGGACAGTAAATGCGTAACGTGTTGATTTGAAGATGGGAAATTTAAAATATGACGTAGGCTAATTGACAACCTTCAAAATAAACCTCTTTATTAGAGAAAGCCTTCCAATTTATAAAACTAACTATCAAAACAAACAACATATTAATTGTGAAATTTGTACGGATTTGAAGTACAGTTAAAGTGCATTTCACAGGCGTATCCCACACCATTTGATGGTTTCATTAAATCTTACTTTTATTTTATAACGCAAATCCGCTGTGGGGTGGCCATAGACTGTGTGGCCCGCGGTCGAGTAGGTTGGTGCGGAAGCAATGAAAACGCAGCTTGCTCTCTAATCACGACGGCATTCCTCAACTCTGCTCGTTCAAGTCGCCGAGACAAGTTCACTCAAGCGTCAAATCATGGTTCGCAAAGTGGCAAATTTGGTAAGTTGTATTTTGCTTACATTTTTAGCCCTTATAGTTACACAAGCCAACATGTGAATGTGGAGCAGCCTACAGGCACCAATTTATTTCCACTTCAACCACTGTAATTACCGCTTTGTAATGACAACATTACTTTCGTTCTAACATCAACAGCTGGTTACAGCCTACAGCTCGGCTTAATCTCAGTTTTTTTCGCAATTTTGTGAGTTTTAGCTCATGAATTTACTGCTTTAATATCAGAAAATATTAAAGTTTTTGTTTTGGAAAATGTATGAATTTAATCTCTGAAATATTTGAGTTTTTCTCTCGGAATATATTAGATCCCAGGGTTCCGTTTCCCCCCCTACAATAATTGGGCTATATTGTTGAAACCTAGGCCTAAGTCTCTGACAAGTTAGAAAATGGAAAATAAACTGGGGAGGCGTGGAGCAACAGCTGTTTCTCTCTCTCTCTCTCTCTTTCTCTCTCTCTGTCATGTCCCTCCTGTCTGTGGATCGCCGCTGGGGAAATGTAATTAGCGCCGACAATAATATTTACAACCAGGAAAAGCAAGCTGGTAAAGAAACTGAACTAAGTGACATGTTCTGATTTCTATCTCTGGTCCGTTTCAGCACTGTGGACAGCGCTGCCCCCCAGACTCGTTTCACCATTTCACACCACATACGGGACATTTCACAGTCCAGACCTGCATTGTGTTTGAATGTAACTGACTGCTAGCTACAGTATAAAGACTCAACTTCTCAAGTCTTTATTTTGTAGCCCAAAATCACAAAGATACTTATAAGGGAAATCTCCATAAAAGAAATCCTGTAGCTTTAGAAAAACAAAGAAACCCTAATAATGCTATATGTTGAGTACACAAGAGTAGCAGGTTTAGAGGTACAATATAGCCTAAAGAAAGGAGAAATAAAATGATCTACAACTTTGAACTATAAAGGAGCTGCCTTTGTGTGATATGTTCAGCAAACTGCATTTCTGTTTGTCACACACGCTGGCAGTGAAAGCTTTCAGGTATAATGAAGGAAATGTAAGGTTTAAATTTGCCACTGCAGATGATGATCATGAGACAAACTGCCAGAAATAAGTAAAACAAATTGCTCCTCAACATAGTTACTTTCCAAATACTATAAGCTGCAATAATCGTGTTCAGGTTAATAAAGCCCATCACACCTTGATCAAAAACACTTTACAGACGTCTGTTTTCATTTTCTGTAGGCGGAGTTCAACGCCATCCTGAAGGAAGCCGGAGACAAGCTGGTGGTGGTGGACTTCACAGCCATGTGGTGTGGCCCCTGTAGACAGATTGGCCCAGAATTTGAGGTAAGTATATGATTTTGGTGATGAAGACTTGTCAAAATCCTAATTAGATGATTTTTCAGTGGCTGGAAAGAGGGAAACCAAAGATTCTGTTTTTGTCACTCAGATAAATGAGTTTCTGTCAAAGGGAAAAAACTTGAACCAGAACCAGAGAATCATCAAGGAGAGGAGAACCTACACTATAATCCTTTCTAAACTGGGATCATTTTAAACCAACAAAATGTTGTAAAGATTGTGTTGGTCACTTACAAACATGAATTGCAGGCTTTGTGAAACAAATGTTTCTTGGGGTGGGGCTGTGGCTCAGGAGATAGAGCGGATTGGCCGTTAATCAGAAGGTCAGTGGTTCAATGGCTCCCCCTGGTTGCATGTCGAAGTGTCCTTGGGCACTTACTTGGCAAGATACTGAACCCCGAATTGCCCCTGGTGGCTGTTCTGCCAGTGTATGAATGTGTGTGACTGGTGAATGCAGATGTAGTGTAAAAGCGCTTTGAGTGGCGCTATACAAATACGGAGCATTTGTCTGTTAATAGTTTAAGCATCCCTTTCTTGAGGGACACGTTACTCGAGTGCAGCAGCCTTTTCCCAAGCTGTCCACCTCAGGTAGAAAATACCTGCGTAACTAGAAGGTTTGATGGCTGTGCATATGACTTTTTCTCCTTCTTGACTTTATTTTAAATCGGGGACATTAATGGGTCAATACGTTGTTTTTCTTATGATCATACGGCAGCAGGTTCATGCTCATCATTTCACTCTATTGCAGGATGAATCACAGAAGCCTGAGAACGCAAACGTGATTTTCCTGAAGGTGGACGTGGATGAGGCTAAGGTAAGAGTCCCCGTTCTGTACCTGGAGATCTGCTGCAGGTACAGAGATCTCCAATCCACATTATAACACCTACAGTCTCTGTATAGCCGCATGGTTCCCACATATTTGAGCAAAAAAACACATTTAATGAGGTTGCTCATTATCTTATATTTAAAGTTATTTAAACATTTACACAGCAAATCTTTGCAGATAACTTTAAAACAGGACCCAGCTTACTCCCATAACTGTCTTTACGACTAACAACAGCTGCTGTGATACGAGCGGGATTTAGTACATAGATAGTAATACTTTGTTTGGCCAAACAAGTAAAACTCTTTAGGTCAGTAAACATATTCTACAAAACCGAAGCCAGTGAAGATAAACAGTCATTGGGGCTGGTAACACACAAGGCAGTGAGCACAGAGGGAGAGGCTCAGATGTCCTGTTCATCCAGCATTACTTTCCTGTTTGCTGTCTGTATCTGGATGACTAACTGAAGCAAGTCTTTCACATGCTAACGTGTAGTGTTAATGACTATGAGTCCGTCAATCTTAATGTTGTTCCCTTTTTTTCAGGATGTGAGTAGATCCTGCAAAATTAGGTGTATGCCCACATTCCAGTTTTACAAGAATGGAGTAAAGGTAAGCATTGCATGGAAATATAGCAAAGAGGGAAACACTGACACATTATCATCTTGCTAATAAAGTTGTTCTGCATTAGCACAACAGTAGATCCAGCAGATATGGAGAAACATTAGAATTCATTTAGTCGTGTTTCTGGCCACCTGATGAACTGCTAAATGCTGCGCTTTCTTCACAAGCCAGTCACTAAATGTTGCTGCCTGCTGTTAGTCACTTCATCAAAGCTGTTCTGCTGAGGCTGGCAATGATGAGCCCCAAGCAACACCCAGTCTTACAAACAGACCTGTTGTGCAAGTCTGCCTTTAATTACAGGAAAACACTTGTTATAATGCCTTAACCTAACCTGCTCATTGGCAGGTTTTCTTCAACAAACTCTCAGGCATTCTTGGCGTTCATCAAGTTGAATGGATCTGTTTAAGTCGGTCCAGTTAGGACAATTTGGTGAATCTGACTTGGGGCACTCGTACAAGCAAACCTCAGAGAAGAAAAAAATAAAAAGGTTTAGGATAAGAGTACGAAAATGCTCTTGAGTGGCGTTTGTGGGCTGTAAAACCAAAATAATACTATGTAGAGCTGAAGGGAACTGCTGAGTCTGGTGATTTAATCCATAGCAAATTCTAAGATACTCTGTCACTTTGTAATTCTTTTATTTTCTGTAATTAAAGTTGTTTTTAACCGCCCGTCTGTGCTGTGTTTCAGGTGGACGAGTTCTCTGGTGCTGACAAAGCTACACTGGTTAAGAAACTGGCAGCTCTGAGAACATAAAAACTGTAGTAGCCACTGATACCCATCTGTACACACATAAGAGGAACTTCCAGTTTCCTGTTATGTACGTTTTGTTTCACACAGGCAATAATTCATTCCACTCATCATGTACACACTGTCACTTTTATATTAAATTTTCATGCTCTTATCTTTTTTTTTGTATTATTCTTTACACTTGTTAAAGCACTTTGTAACTTGTTTTTGAAAAGTGCTCTACAAATAAGGATTATTATTATTATTATTACTGTCACCCTGTCCCTTGAGTTTCTGTATTGACTGTATTGACTACTTTTATATGACAAATTGGCTCCTGTCCAACTCATGAACTTTCTTTGTAATGTGTTCACCAAAGAGGATTTAATAAATGAACTTACATCGAGCACGACAGAACGTGACTTTTGATTCACAACCCCTTGCTGCAAGAGCACAGAATCTGATCAAAAGAGCATTTAATGGTATTTTATGCTTTAATAAAAATGTGAGAATAGTTTACACATATACATTGGACAATCACATCAATAGTTTTTTTTTTACACATCGTACAAGTATATAGCAGCATATGTTTAATACTGTTGATTCTCTATATGAAAAAATACAGCTTTATTTTACAAAATGGATCTTGCGTTGCCTTTTGCAGAGAGATGAGAATGAATGGTTTACAAGTGTGTCAGTTAACTATACAAGAATTCCCTTCATAAGACGATTCACATGGAGCTGAGTGGAGCCTTTAGAAGTGATAGTATCCCGATTTCCTTTTCCTGCCAAGAGAAGTAAGAAGGGAAAACCGTGCATCAAGGCTGAGTGCAAACACCCTTGAGGAATTCAATTCAACCTGATAACTGAAGGGTCATTTGTGCTACAGATTTACAGTCTTTTCCTCTGTTGCTAGAGAAAGTCATTTCAAAACACTGGCTCTTTAAACCTTGTAAAAATACACTGCTCATCTTTATGTGGTTACAATAGTTGTTCAGTTGGAAATAATTTTATAATAGTGGCAATTTCTACACTTACTCTACTGTTATATGCATATCTACCTACACATAGCAATCTATTTTACACTGATGTGAAAAAGATATTCTCCTTACTCTATCATGTCACTGTAACTATTCATTAAATATCATCTATTTATTTACGCTTCTGAAACAATCTATCTCTATCCCAGGAAAGTTGCTCAGCATTTTTGGAAAACTTTTGTTGTTGTCTCTAAATCACCTGGAGCAGTCGTGTCCATTCCACCCCTGACTGCAGTGACACCTGTTGGGACGGATGCACCTGCCTCCATTCAGACAGGGTGATGAACACACAGCTGTGGACATGACACACACGCACACACACACACACACAGACAGATGTTTAGGTCAAAACCTGTAAAACATGGTCATGACAGACAGATGATTAGGTGCTCAACCAGTCTTTCTTCTCTGTGCCATCAGTTATGACAAACCATCAGTAAAACTGTAAACTAAAAAACAATTAAGATGGCAGTCGTAGTAGTAGTTAAAAAGGTACATTTGTAGGCAATGAAAAATAAAACAAAAGATTCATTCATAAAGTGACACAGGAAAGTATTACAACATACCCCAAACATTCTACACACTCTTTATGGGTCTCTCAGGGAGACATGTCAAAGCCTCAGAGCTTCAGCAGCAAAAGCCCTTCTATGAGACAATCATGTTTGTCCATCTGTATATTAAATACTTTAAAGTGGTAATTTTATGCTCATTTTCAGGTTCATAATTTTATTTAGGGGTTGTACCAGTATAGGTTTACATGGCAAAACACCATATTTTTCATATCACTGTGCACACTGCTGTAACTCCTCTTTTCACCCTGTGTGTTGAACAGTTTTATCTACCGAGTGAAGTTGGGAGCTGCCCATGCGCAGGACCTAGTTAAGGACTACTAGCCAATCATGTGATCCAAAACAAAGCCGTAACTGTGGCTTTGATTTAGCCATCCATGATCCTCAAACACAGGCAGAACAACCTGAACCAGCTTCACAACCTAGACTGCAGCAAGAGCTTTTGAGTTTTAAGTTTTTAATTTGTAACAAATGTATCTTTCAAACTAATGTTTTAACTGTGCACTGCTATCTAACGTTTGGTAGGGAGGGTGGGGGTGAGGGGAGAGAGCAGACGGAGGACTTGTCACTGTGTGCCGCAGCTCAGTGTGTTTCTCCACCAGTATTTTTGAGAGACTAGTCGCTAAGTGAGCACATGTTACATAGTGGCACATATAGTTTACTAAAGTAAAGGCTGGACTACAATCGAGCTGTATTTAGGCAGCTCAGAGCAGTGTTTTCTGTGGGAGATGGTACCTTTGGGGTGGACTTTGGCCTTTTTCACTTTGCAAACCTATGACATGCACAAAAAAGATATATAACAAAGGAAAGGGAAAAAGCCAAAAAGCATAATATGACCTCTTTAAAAATTAAAGTAATCAGTAAAAGTGTTGTTGGTTGTATGTTTTATATTCCAGTGGGTTGTGTTGTCATATTTGTTTGATGTGTTGTATGTTCTTGTGCTGCGTTTTTGTTTTAGTTTAAAAAAAAAAAAACTTTCCACTTTGGTGGACAAAAGAATTTTGATTCTATCCTTTCCTTTTTTATTGGTTTATTTAACAGTGTGAATGAGTTTATTGTGCATCTTGAGAGCAAGCCCTCACTTTACAGGATTCCCTTTACTCACTTATGCACCAGCCTAAACATGCATCACTGACTCACACATAAACTCACCACTGTGACAGCGCGTGCCCGTCCACCCGGTGGGACACTCGCACTGGTAAGGTGCCACGCAACGGCCTCCATTCAGGCACGGCAGGATGCAGATCGCTGTTATTGAAGAGGACAGAGGAGCGAAAATAGGAAATCATTTAAGGTAATCAATCCCCCGCTGTCTTTGTTGAAATCCCAAACTCTTGATTCAATTGTTTGTGACCGCAGACTAGAGAGAGGCATTTTTTTGTCTTGATGAAACAGTGATCCATCTCAAGTTTTAAAAAAGCAAACCAGTGGCTGCGCAAAGAGTATAGTCACTCCAGTAGCTGTATTTTAAAGCCCCAGTTCGTGTAAAGTGTAAAATACAATAATGTTCAGTAAAGTTAAGAAGTCCTGGTCTTTTGTGATCAATTGATTAGTAAATTGTAAAAAATAATAATAATAATTAACAAGGTTCAATTGTAATTTTAATTTTCCAGAGCCCTAAGGGAAGTCTTCAAACTGCTTGTTTTGACCAACAAAAGGTCAAAAATTGTTGATTGACTTTCTGTTGACTGATTACCTGTTTAAGCACTACGGCAGCAGTCTCAGGCCAACTGTTTGTTACTTTAAAGAGTATTACTAAGTATTACTAAGAGTATTTAGCCTGTGCTAACATGCTGATGTTAGGCAGGTATAATGTTTATTCTACATCAGACCAGCATATATGGGACTTTGTAAAACATCAACCTTTTAGGGGATAGAAAACCAAAGATCCTATTGATGCCAATGCAGTTTGACTTGTGCTTGTATTATTGTAATTATAAGTGTAATGCATTAATTTTGTGTAAACAAATAACTAATAATATTTTTGCAACCTTACCTGAACCTGAGAGTTTGCACTACCTTAATAAATTAAGGCTGAAATTAAGGTCAACTGGTGTGCCCCTTCAGTCTTCCCCAGTCTTGATCAATGCTTGGGCTGATATTACTTATCTGAACAGCTTGAGCTTGGAGACAAATTAATCAGTGACATTTAGATAAATCTGAGAGACGTTTCCAATCTTTTGGTGATTCTAATTGTTCCTTTAACTGCTGTGTTGAGTGAGAAGGAGACAAACTGTAAACTGTCGGACTGTGTTTTGTTGAAGTGCAGAAAATGAATGACAGTAACTCTAAATTTCTCCGCTGAAAACAACCTTTCAGTCCATTATCTCTGACCCTCTTTGTGCACCATTGTCTGCTAAATTCCGCTTAGCAAGCTGGTTGGATTCCAGTGTGTTAGCGAGGGTTTGTTTGAATTTGAGTTGCAACACACTTACGATCATGTTCTGGGAGTGAGTGTATCGACACTGTGTTGAAATTTAATGATTAATTAATTGATTAATGATTAACTTACGCTCCTCACAGAGTCGGCCCATCCAGCCCTCGGGGCAGGAGCAAGTGTTGGGCCGCTGACACACACCTCCGTTCTGGCACTGCAGCCAACACAGCGCTGAGGGAAAGGACACACACACAAAACATATCAGAAACACATTTTCACACTTCATATAGAGCAGATGAGTGTACTCATATGAAGGAGACAAAGAACAAATGTTACAGGTTTTCATGTTTTACAGTTTATTTCTCAGCCACAGCCTGCCAAACATCTGATGCAACTCTTGGCCATGCAACCTCATGCACTAGAACAACGGCAGCATTCACACACTGTGGATTAAAATCCTTAGTACCAACTAATAAAGGATATCAACAGAAACAGTGTCTGCATGTGTTTTTCTGTGTAGACAGGCACGTGCACAGTCGCAGCAGCTGTTGAGGACAGGCTAGCCTGGATCCAGTCTTTGTTTTCATATGTAAAACACGCGAGAGGCCGTTTGAATTTCATTTTGCATGAGGATCGGCTTTGGTTTCTTTTCCTCTTTAAATTTGCAGCAAGGGAAGAAAGCTCATGAATATGGAGCCCGACTGATCCGATTCTCTGATGTGTTATTTGCACCCATGTTTTCTAAATTGTGTAGAGAAGACAATGGATCTTACACACACTGCACATCTATTCACTGAGGATGATATGTCACTGGTCTGTTTGGATATTCATTTAAAGGACAGGTCTGTTCCAATTACAGCTCTTTTCTTAAGTTGTGCTCACAGTTTATGGTTTTGTACGTGCTCAGGCTCGTGCTAATTGTGGAACTGAATTTACACTTTAAAGACAAAATATGGCTTTAGAAAGGACTCGTATATGACTCTCACAGACATAGACATCACTCATGGTAGAGCGGGTGTTGGGAAGCTGCCTTTTTAGGTTGAATAAGTGAACCATATCCTTTCCCAACCTTAACTTTTAATGAGGAAGAGGCTAAAAAGCAACAATTTCTTGGCTACTTCACCTACATCCACATACTGTACACATGTCACTGGTGTAAACCCAGGAGAAGTAGGCATTAGAGTCCAGAGAGAGCAGGCACAGAGCTGTTAATAACCTGTAGAGAAAGTTGTATCTGTTGAACAGGAGCAGGATTAAAAGGCTGAGAAGCAGCATGTGCAAAAGGGAAAGTCAGGTGAAGCAGGAAGTGTCCTGGGAAAGTCCCCTCTGTTAAACACAGGAGTGTGTTCGCTCTACCTCTGCATGTGGGAGGCGGCGTCCAGGTGCCATTCTCCAAACACCTGCTCCTTCCAATGCCCTCC